GGGGGGTAGGAGGGGAGTGAAGGGCATAGGCACCTCTTGCCGGATCTTAAGGCCGAGTGTGACCAACTACCTGTGAAGCTGACGTAACGCGCCCGCAAAAATTTGGATTACCTTGAAAGCATGGCGGAGGATACTAGCTCAGTTTCCAAGGTTGATTGCTTTTAATCATGGATTTCTTGTGATTAAGTTTGATTTAATTCTTTTTTAAACTCGATATTACTTGTTTTTAACTTTAGGGCTGCTTTCTGATCAAGAAATCATCGGCTCGCACTCCAAGAAAGCGTCATGCAGGTTGGATAGATCAGCTTACAGGCCAGCATGTCACTGTGGTTTCTTGTCAATCCGACGATCTCCCCGCAAAATCACCTGTAAAAGGGTGAACTACTTATGATTATCTTGAAAATATAAATAGATACTAGCTGAAAAATACAGTTCTGAGCTGCGATTTTTATCCTACTCTGATAACAACCAATGAGTCGATTATTTTCGTGTGTCGATTGACTATATTCCAAACCTGTTGCTATACTGATTCAAGCACAGACTCACTTGATCATGACTAACAAGTTAGTGAACGAAAGCTTTATCTTTTTTTCTCTTTTTTCCAGAGGACATATTTCCAGATGTCGCTGGAGAAAATACAGCCCATCGCAAGCAGAGATGTGAAAACTATAAAAAGTGTTGGGAATCTATTAAATATGAAATTGAGGTGCCAGCGCCAGTGATGTGTGATATATTGTGGTGTTTATAATGTTCCAGAGCTTGTCTTTTGCTGATGTGTTCAGGAAAAAGAGGCATGAAAAGTGTGAACTGATCGGGAAGCTGAGGAAAATTATTCACAACTGGAAATAAATGCCATACACGTAATTGATGAATACATGTATGAAATGCAATAATGATGACTGCATGTTGTTGTTTTATCTTAGGTTCTGCAGTCACAGATGAACAGTAAAATATTTTCTGACCTCCTGGAATTTTTTAAGAGGAAACAGAGTGTAAAATCATCAGAAATTGGAAGGACCAGTGTCATACAAGAAATACCTACAGCTGCTTTGATAACTGGTGAAGAGAATACAAGCCTTTTGTTTGTCACTAGTGCTATAAGCTGAACTGTGTAATTTATTATTTCAGGTGTAAATATGCCAGACCACGATGTAGTATTCTCTCAGTTAGCCACTGAATTAAACAGCCATGTGACTCCATTTGTTGCTTTACTGAGGTCCAAAGACTGCACAGGTTTGCTTTTATTCCCTCTTTGCTTTCTTTCTAAAACTCAGAAACATTATTCTTCTCTAATAGATCTTGGGTGTACAAGTAGGAGGAACTAGTTTCCACTGACAACAAGATGTATTTTTTTTAAGTGAAATTTTATTGTAAGATTTTCAAAGTTGGTTCCTACCAATTAGCTGATTAATTATAATTTTTAATTGATATTAAATACTCTTCTTTATTTAAAAAAAGCTTGTGATTTTGTTGTAGATTAGGTTCTCTGATCATCTTCCTAGACAAGTAAAACAAATCAATGGATTTCAACATTTGTTACAATTGTTTTTTGCTTAAAATACAAATTTGTGCTCTACAGTTATGAAAGCAACAATGAAGAATGTGATATCACAGTTCATTGGTTGTGATGTACATGTGAGTTTGACTACATTGTCTGTTTTATAATTTCTTACCATGATATGATACCAATGATCATCAAGTATTTGCCCTTGGCTTAAATAAACACATTTGTTGTTCAGTAACTGGCTTACTAACTGAGAAATCAGAAAGTTTGTAATAACTGTGACTGAAAGACTTGTTGACATATCATTGTTACTTTATTTTCAAGGATGGGGATGATTTGTTTCCTTCAGAACAAGCCAAGAAAATAAGCAGTTTTACAATGCCTGTACTCTGCCATTGGTACCAGAAAATGATCAAGGTTTTGTTCTTGTTGATACAGTTTTTAATTTGCAAGTAGTCTGGATGATGTTTGTCATTCACTTTTTCTAAGTATTTTTCATCATCTGTGGCACTACAAAGGTTGCAATTAATCCTTATCTGTTTGAATTAAGATAACCTAACTTAAGAGGGACACCATTAATATTGTCATCGTGATTTCACAGTATGTGGGATTTCAAACCAAAGGTGAATTGGGGATAATGACTGGGTTGAACTGTTTGTGTTTCAGTACAGCTATCCAAAGAGAAGACAGAGCAGAC